AGTGATCACAACAGGTAATCCTCATCTGATCCCTCTCCTGTCACCTACCTCCAGAGAAATGGAGGGGGGGGACACCATTCCTAACCATCCTGGCTAATAGTCATTGATGCACCTAACCTCCATGACTCTATCTAGCTCTTTTTTGAAACTTGTTAAAATCTTAGCTTTCGCCACAGCCTCTGGCTAGGAGTTCCTCAGGTTGACTGTGTGCTGAGTGAAGAAAAACTTTCTTTTGTTTTAAACCTGCTGCCTATTAATTTCATTTGGTGACCCTTAGTTCTTATATTGTGTAATAAGTAAACTTTTCCTTATTCACTTTTTCCAGTGAATATTTTATAGACCAGTCATGACTTTATAAACCTCTATTATATCCCTGCTTAGTCTTCTATTTTCTAAGCTGAAAAGTCCACATCTTTGTCATCTCTCTTCAAATGGGACCCATTCCAAACCCCTAATCATTATGCCCTTTTCTGAACCTTTTCCAATTCATTATATATTTTTTGAGATGAGGTGATCACACCTATATGCAGTATTCAAGATGTGGGTGTATCATAGTTTAATATAGAGGTAATAAGATATTTTCTGTCTTATTCTCTATCCCTTTTTAAATGTTTCCTAACATTCTATTTGCTTTTTTGACTGCCACTGCATACTGAGTGGGTGTTTTCAGAGAACTATCCCCAGTGACTCCAAGTGCTCTCTCTAGTTGTTGCTAAATTTGTCCCCATCCTATTGTATGTATAGTTGGGATTATTTTTTCCAATGTGCATTACTTTACATTTATCAACATTAGATTTCATTTGCTATGTTGTTGCCCGATCACTTAGTTTGGTGAGATCTTTTTGAAGCTCTTCACAGTCTGCTTTGGTCTTAACTATCTTGGGCAGTTTGGTATCATCTGCAAGAGCAGTTTGGTATCATCTTAGTGGTTATAAGCTGCTTATTTCTGCAGACTTTAATAAACCATCTTGTTAGTCTTTAAAGTGCTACATAATCCTGTTTTTTGTTCCTGATACATACTAACCCTGCTACCCTTCTGAAGCTTTTGAACAAAAAAATGGGAACATTAAGAAGTGGGAAAATGTATTTTATGATATTTTCTTTTAAGGTACTTTCTAATTCCAAAATATAGAGTTCTTACTGTTCACCTTAAAAATGTAATTGTAATGTAATACTAAAATAGCTAAAAGTTATTAAAAATTCTGAAATTTAGTGCTCTAACAAGTAAAATTAGCAGTGATTGTTAAAATAGAACACTTAAACTGCATAGTAAAGAGGCAAATGCTATTAAGAGGTGAAGCCTATGATGTATTCTGAAGTCTTGCAGTTGTTCCATATGAATATGAACTTTAAGTCCTAAATGCTGGAAGCCACACTTTATCCTACTACTTTTCTTGTCTGTCTTGCTGGTTTTGAGGCTCTATGTAGTAGCAGATGGGATCATCATCTAGAAAGAAGCACTACAGCAAATATTTTAATAAGTGGACCACTTGAAGTGTTAATTTGTGCAAATCCTCTAAATTTGGTTAATCCAAGGCTTTTGACTGAACTCCTCCTACCTTCTGTATTGAGATTAATTACTCATCAGATTGTAATAGCACTATAAATCAAGTCACTATCTTTTTGCAACCATATCCCTCGGGGTGTTATATTGTCGCTTGTGCCACTGATAGTTAAGGTGGTGATGTGATAGTAAAAATAGTTCTTAGTACTCAATCGTGGTCCAAATAAAAGGTGCCTTAATCCCAGTAAAGCTACATACATTGGGACCCAAAATCTCCACATCATACTTTTCTGTTTTATTGTTAAGAACCACTACACTCATAATGTATGCATTTGGTGCAACCATTAAATTTCTGCAGAATGATCATTGTGGCGCTCAGCTGGGGAGCTGCTGCTGTAGTTTGTGCATAGAGTTGCACACATAATCATACGTTGCAATTTGAAGTAATTTCAGCCTAGTTTAGACTATGCAGAAATGCTAATAATTAAACTGCTTGTTTCGGGATCTGAAGTGATAAATAAGTATTAAAGTTATGGTTGAGACATAGAATATTTTCTGGGGATAATGAATGCTATGGAGAGTTGGAGTTAATGTTCTAACTAGTCATTAATGGTTAGGAAATGGCCCAACTCAGCAGTCCTTATTGTAGTTGTAAGCTTGATGGAATGGCTTCTATTTCTGTTTCATCTCAAGTTATGCACTGCTAGTGCATTTTTGTTTTCATTGTCCATTCCTTCCTAGCTGTTAGCAACAAATACAGTCTTGAAGTTTGTTATACTTCAAGTTGCTGTCTAGTTTGGCAGAAACCCAGTGGAAAAACAAGAACTTTTCGTATCGTACATAATTTGTAGTGTACATTGCTGATTCTGAAAGATTGGAAAGAGAGTGACACCCTGGTATGACTAATTTATAGTTTGCATTCACAGACAAAATATTTTATTAGCTTTTTCTAATGTCTTATGTTCATTTGTTTAAATTCTAACATGAGTTGTTTCTCAGAACCTTTCTATTGAAAAAAAAATTGGCAGGCTGTTGCATACAGTTGTATGTTCTTACAAAACGTTTAGCTCAGTGAAATCTGATGGTTAGTGACTTTTTTTTTTGAACTCCGTTTTCCCATCAAGCCAACCAAAATACCAGGAGTTAAAGTTGCTAATGAAAGATCACAATAAATGGCTTATATAGTCTTTCCAGGGGTTGCACATGTGTCTAACTTTATACACATAAGAACACCTAATGATATCAGTGGGACTGCTCAGATTGTAAGCTGTCAGAATGGCAGTGTCTTTGTGTGCTGTACAAACAGAGCAAAGCACAGTATGGTCCCGCTCAGTAACCACAGTACATTATAAATGCCCAAATAATAATAACCAGTAGTTGTGTGAAAGCTTTTGCAGAATCAGGATTTAGCCTCAAGAACCCTTTGGCATTTTGCTTCTCTAATCCATTGTGTATAAAGAGTAATTATAGCCCTTCTGTAGACCAAATGTTTTGTAGACAAGAGAACAGTCACTTTAAGTGCTGTTAAAATGTGGTATTAATGTTGCTGGGGAATTGCTTGATGCCATGTATTTGCTCTACAGAGTTTTACATTTTCTTGGAAGTGAGTTGTTCATCCTTTCAGATTGGGCTTAGATTTACAAGGCATTTAAACATTTTCTTAATTTGAAGTGAAGTCAAATATAAGATTAACTTTCTTGGGGGAAAAAAGAAAAACAAGGAGTATTTTTCTGTAGGCTAAGCTTATTGCATGCAATTGGGACTCCTTGCATTCCTCCATACCCCCATCACAAGCACTGTGCATGCTGCCTGTTCATCTTCCTTTGTTTCAGATATTCCCTTATATAAGTTCCTCAGTCTGGTGTGTCCGCGTGTCCTATTCACCCTCCATCATGTGTATTTGAGTTTAATATCTACAACTCAAATTTGAGAGAGAAATCTTAGAGTTGGCTGTGAATTAAGAGTTCTTAAAAGAATGACTTGTACATTAGAGCCATCTAAGAATTTCTTTAGCATCTATAACCTGTGGCTATTTGGTTAGTTGAGTGTGGCTAGTTAGCTATAGCAGTAGCTGCTACTGTGGCTATTACTTCAGAACTGGTTGGATACCACAGATCTATAATCTAAGAAATGAGGGTGTGTGGCATGGTGGATTCAGGTCTGGAACAAGGAAGTAAGAAAATCTTTCAGGGTGCCTTTACAGATCCCCAAAAGCAGTATAAACAATATTTTACACTGACATTTTACACTTACATCTATGTACAAGACTTCTGTTCTAGAACATATTGAGGTTTAGTCTCCAATTAATTATGTCTAACTTCCATACACTAATTAATGGAAATTATGTGGTGATTCAGTTATATGTGAAGAAAAGTAATCTCACTTGATTTTAGGAATTCTCGTTATGTTTGCTTATATCAAATGAGGGGGTTTTCGACTTTAAGGTCTTTAAATAAATACATTGATATTCAAGTTGATCCTGCAAATAATTATACACAAATCTAGGTGAATTTTAGAAGAAGCTTTAAGGTGGTATTTTTTTTCTTGTAAACCACAAAATGAGTTTTTATTGGCTGTTTCAGATATTGTTTCTCTCCCTATGCATACTGTCTCAGATACCCAAATTAACAGCCTTCTATTTAATATACAAGGATGTGCAAAGCAGGATTTTCTCAGAGTTGACTTCTTGATTTTAGAATTCACTTTTCATCACTTACCAAATCTAGGGTCTGATGGGAAACTTTCAGAACATGTGCATACACCTGTTTCTTAGAGAGAGGGGCAGGAAGTAGAGGAGTGAGATGAGATCTAGGTCATTTTTGGATTGGGAGTATTTTTAATTTTTTTTCTATTTTTTTATTACTGTTTATATTTTCTCTAATGCTTTTTATTACTATTGTCTTAACTCTTATAAGAAGGAAACATGTTAGAAGCAATTGGGGGGAATATAAATAAAAGTGATGTGTCCTCTCTCTCTCTCTCTCTCTCTCTCTCTGCTGTTTATCTTTTGAATGCCCTCATCTATATTTACATAGTAATATAAAATGCTTCCCCTTAAATAAATAAATATTTAGTCCTAATCTTGCTGCTCTTAGTAACCCAATCTTTCAGTGTAGGCAATGGGAATTCTGAATGAATGAGTCTCTAGAACAGGGGTGAGCAAGATATGGCTGAGGGGCAGGATCTGGCCCACCTAGCCTTTCATTCTGGCCAGCGACCACCCCACCAGGACCCACAGGCATCTGGCTGCTCCATCTGCCTCTCTGTGCTGGGGATGCAGGGGGAAGTTTTTGTGCTGTGAACTCCCTCCTTCACCCAACTTCCATCCCAGACCCCACTCCCCCTCCAAAGAAAAGTATGACATGGTCACCATGAAAAATTATTGCTCACCCCTGCTCTAGAATCAGATCCTGAGTTTATCACTTGACTTCTTTCTCTCACTCTTCTATATGTTCCTTAGTTTAGAAAAACTTAATGTTACTTTCTTTCTTGACAGATAATTACTTTCAGGAAATGGCCTCTTCTAAATCTTTGCTGAATCTTCTTACCTTCACATTTGGATCAGCAATAGGATTTTTTGCATGTTACATGCTATTTAGCATAGTGTTGGAAAAACAAGTTGAAATCCAACCTCATATTCTTCACAATGATCCCCATGGTGAACACTCAGAAGAAACTGGAAGTGATCAACTGGATGGACAAATGAACTTCAATGCTGATACTGGGCAGCATAAAGGTATTTTTATGTTTTGTACAATGTTAAAAATGAGTATTCTGTTCCATTAACAGTTTTCTTTCTTCATTGGTAGGTATTTATACACAAGCTTTTTTTATTCCATCTCCACACCCAGAATATAAAATTAAATAGGTTTTCCCTTCTAAGGGACTGAATTATGAGTTTTTTCTTTATCACCTTGCATTTTCTAATAAGTGGGTTTTTTTTAATAGAGTCTATTACTTGCCAAGTGTTGAACCCAGACTTAGACATGGAAGTAATAGTTTAAAGTTTGGCTGCTGGAGCTTCTTAGGTGGTAAACTACAACACATACTTTTTCTGTTCATTTGATACACTCACAGTACTTCATAGACAGCTAGATTGCTTTTTAGTTAGGCTAACTTAGGAGCATCTATACTTTTTTAGTAAGCTTTTCAAATAAAAGTGAAACTTTAAAAGCAGCCCACTGTTCTTTGAACCTAACCAGGCAAGTGATTTACATTTTGGGAGGGGGAAAATGTATGAAATTTGTAGTGTTACATTACTCTATAATTATCGAAGATTTTTGAGTGAAAATTTCTGAATAAGTTCAGAATATTTCACAAATATTTAGTAAATTGCTTCAACCCTGTAAGGCAAATACTATTTTTCAGGTATTAAAACTGATGCAACTGGGGAGAAGGGGGGCTGGCATGGGGCAGCAGCAGGGGTTAGGCCCTCCATATTCATTGTGGCAGTGGGAGTTACACAGAAGTGGGGCAGTTTACCTGCAGTTCCTGTCACTGTGCTGAGTGCAGGTTTCTGAGCCCTGCTGCCAAACCATGTCCCTCAGAAGCTGGGGCTTAAGAGAAGGGGTGCAATGTAGAGAAGAGGGCAGGGAAGAGGATTGGGGAACAAGTATGGATACACGCACACCCTGGGCTGCGAGGACTCTTGGGCCAAATTATGCAAATGCTCAGCCATTAGATAACCAGCAGATTGTGAGCTTGAGACCCCTGCACTACATTTTCAAGGGGAGATTTTTTCCCCCCTCCTATTCCCCTAGTTTTCTTTTAGCTCCTGGAAAGCCACCACCTCTATATTTACCTGCACGGCTGTGGGTACCAACGATCACAGCTCCTGTTGGCCACAGATCACCATTCCCAGCTGATGGGAGCTACAGGAAACAGTATCCCAGTCTGTGCCACTTCTCATCTAGATCAGGGGTGGACAATAACTTTTGATGGGGGGCCACTCCAAGATTTTGGAAAGTGGTCAAGGGCTGCACTCTTCCATATTGATGGAGGAGATGTGGGGTCTGGGATGGAGGTTGGGTGCAGAAGGGAGCTTGGGGTAAGGGACTGGTGTGCAGGAGGGAGACTGGAGTCTGGGAGTGAGTTGGGATGAAGGCAGGTGGTTGTGACCTAGAGCAGGGGACTGGAGTGCAGGGGTTTGGGATGTGACCTGGAGTAGGAGGGGATTGTGATCTGGGGCAGGTGATTGGGGTGTCAGATCTGGGAGAGGGTATAAGTGTAAGAGGGGGGACAGAGGGTTTGGGTATGTTGAGTGAGGGGACAAAGTTGGGGCAGGAAAGGGCTGAGGTGCCAGAAGCAGGCCAAGAGAATTACTTGCCAGCTGCCAAAGTAGCCTGCCTGCCTGCAGACTTAAAATGTTTCCCAGCCTTCCTTGCCATATGCTTCATGAATAACTGAGTTGAGAGGGAGTGTTGTTCTTCTTGACTGCCTGTTACTCCAACAAGCAGCCCACATTGGCTGGTTTCTGCCAGAAACCGGCCAATGAGAATGTGCTGGGGGTGGGGTGGCTCCTAAAACTTCCCTCCCCACCCTCCAGTTTTAAAACAGAAATGGAGCCCTGCAGCTGCATTTCTGCACAGCAAGCAGAGCTGTGAGGCAAGCTGGGGAGCCTGCCTGGGGCTCCCCACTGTTTCCACGGGCCAGATCCAATCTGCGGGCCATGTTTTGCCCTGGCCTGATCTAGATCATCCCTCACAGATGTCTATCCAACCTACTCTTAAATATTTTCAGTGATGGAGATTCCACAACCTCCTAGGCAATTTATTCTAGTGTTTAGCCTCCCCTCCCCCACCAGTAAGGAAGTTTTTCCTAATGTCCAACCTAAACCTCCCTTGCTGCAATTTAATAAGCCCATTGCTTCTTGTCCTATCATCAGAGGCCAGGGAGAACAATTCTTATCCCTCCTCCTTGTAACACCCTCTTAGATGCTTGAAAACTGCTATCATGTCTCCTCTCAGTCTTCTCTCTTCTAAACTAAACAAGCCCAATTCTTTCAGTCTTCCCTCATAGGTCAAGTTTTCTTGACCTTTAATCATTTTTGTTGCTCTCCTCTGGACCGTCTCCAACTTCTCCACATCTTTCCTGAAATATGGTGCCCAGAACTGGACACAATACTCCAACTAAACATTTTAAAAAATCTAATTTGCTTTTCACCATTAGTAATTTTTACTTAGCATGGACTATAAAAATTGATTGGCTTCCAACTTTTATATCTAGTCAGGTTTTTAAAATAATTTTCATTAACTTCATAGGGCTATTGGAGAGTTCTTATGAATAAAATTGAGTCAAATCTGTTAAAATTCGTATAAGGTTTTGTAAAACCATGTTTGTTTTTGTGAGAGAATTTTAATGTTATCCCTTTTACTTCTTTTGTAAAAGTAAGTAGGAATACGTATTTGAGATTTTTTTAAACTTGTAGAATTATTTCATTCCTGAATTAACTTTGGTCTTGCTGACCATGAGGACAAATGTTGATCATCACATTTCAGGTAATGTAAATTGGGCTGTAAGTAGCTTGACTTGTATTGCATATGACAGAGAAAAATTTTCCAAAATAGAATCCTCATCTGATGTGTCTGTATACTATACTTCTTCCCGTTCATTTCTCTATACTTTCATAAAGGCTAGCAAAACATTTTTTCTTGCACTTAGATGAATCATTGACGTACTGTTCCATTTTGTATTAATATTTAGCAAACACCGTAACATATTGTGGAATCCCTTTTTTTCCCCCTTTAGATGAGAACAAATATATTGCAGAAGGATTGTATCAAAAGGTGAAAATACTTTGTTGGGTGATGACTGGGCCTCAGAATCTGGAGAAAAAAGCCAAGCATGTTAAGGCTACTTGGGCCCAGCATTGCAATAAAATCTTGTTTATGAGCTCTGAGGAGAATAAAGACTTTCCAGCTGTGGGACTAGAAGCCAAAGAAGGCAGGGACCAACTGTACTGGAAAACTATTAAAGCCTTCCAGTATGTACATGACCATTATTTTGATGATGCTGATTGGTTTATGAAAGCTGATGATGACACATATGTTATACTGGACAACTTGAGATGGCTTCTTTCAAAATACAATCCTGAACAACCAATATACTTTGGAAGGCGGTTTAAGCCTTATGTGAAACAGGGCTACATGAGTGGAGGAGCAGGATATGTACTGAGCAAAGAAGCTCTAAGGAGATTTGTTAATGCATTTAAAACCAATAAATGTTCTCATAGCTCTTCTGTGGAAGATCTAGCACTCGGAAAATGCATGGAGAATATTAATGTAGAAGCTGGAGATTCAAGGGACACAAGCGGTAAAGAAACTTTTCATCCCTTTGTGCCAGAACATCACTTAATCAGAGGATATCTACCTAGAACATTTTGGTACTGGAATTATAATTATTATCCTGCAGTAGAGGTAAGTTGGTGTGTGTGTGTGTGTGTGTGGTTTTTTTTTTTTTTTTTTTTTTTTTTTTTGAAAGGCTGTGACCTATGTATGAAGTATGTTTCTGAAATCTTTATATGTACAGTGATTATAGGTTGTTTAACTGTCCTTTATCAAACCGTTCTAGGAAAATTAAAAATTTGTAGTGGATGCCTGAGACAGACTTAAGGATGGAATCATTATATATTCCATTTATAAAATAAAACTTGAAAGCATGTACCTAGTGTACCATCAGAATTAGTTAATATGAAATTACTGGTCTCGTGTTATAGAAGATGGACTGGATACCGTAGTTCAGTGTTTTTCAAACATTTTTTTTTCTCATGACCCATTTGAAGAAAATTGTTGATGCCTGTGACCCAACATAATTTGACTAGAGCATAGGCTTTGGGATGGACCTGAGGATGAGATGGAGGGAGGGAGGGAGGGACTGAGGGAGGTGTCAGGGCTGGGGCAGGAGGGGTTTACCTTTAACAGCTTCCATTCAGTGGTGCGGTGGATGTACTAAGGCAGGTTTCCTACTTCTGGTGCCATAGACTATGCTATGCCCCAGCAGCAACCAACAGCAGGTTCCCAGCCAGTAGTAATGCAGAGCTAGTGCTTGAGGCAGGGGCAGTGCACAGAGCCCTGTGTGCTCCCTCTCTCCCCCATCTAGGAGCCAGGCCTGTTGTCAGGTAGCCTGCCTTAGCACTTTCACTGGTCACTTGATCCCCTGCAGCAATGAGACCCAATGCCTGACATTCCACAACCTAGTACTAGGTGGTGACCCATAGTTTGGAAATCAATGCTATAGTAAGTCTCTTCTACCTAATTCTTTTGCTGTATTGGGAGCTGGTTTTTCACAGGATGCTGAATTCTTGTTTCCTGCAGCTAAATCACATTTAGAAAGCTACTAAAATTCAGAAACATTGTTCTTAATGTTACCTTTCCATGTAAGCTGTTACCATAGTTGTGACTGGGGGGTTATTCAATCGTGAATGAGAGGAAGTATGTGGTTCATGAGACCATTTTAAGGTGTGGCTATCTACAAAGCTACCTTATCTACAAAGAATTTTTCTAATTTTAGAGGATACTATTTACCTGTCAAAGTTGAGGGGAAAATGAGAAGTTTGCAGTGAGCATAAGTGGTGGAACATAACTTTATAGCATCTCTTTTCAAATTGCAATAACTGGTTTTTTTTCTATTTTTTTTGTAAAAAAAAAAAAACAAGTTCTGCAGTATAAAACTGATTTTTTGGTCTTTGTTAACTCACTTGCAGAGAGGTGGAGACCTATATCTGTGTCTAATCAATGAGAGGTGTAGTTCTTGAAATAATGAGAGCTGAAAGTATTTGTATCTCAAAAGATCTGATTTGTAGAGCCCTGTAAATCCTGTAAATCCGCAGATATCCGCTTTATATTCACTGCTATCTGCGTATGTCGTTGCAGATATCCATGGCTCATTTTTGCAGATACAAATTTTGTATCCTTGCAGGGCTTTACAGATTTGTATGTAATCTCTTCAGGAGCCTTATTAATCACATAAAGGTAAGGCACGTAGGTCTGAAAAGGATCACTGGACTCCAGTACCGTGTTATCGTAAGCAATCCATCATATAATCCTGTTCATATATTATCAAGTTCCATCTTAAAACTAGTTAGTTACCACTGCTATTAAACATACAAATCTGTAAATGAAGTGGAAATTTAAAAAATCCCAATGTTAAGTGCAGTTGTTTCTTTTGAAGTCAGTGGTAAAGCTTCCATTTCATTTGGGAGCAGAATTAGGCAAACAGTGAATACTTTTGAAATCCTACCTGTCTTGTAACATCACCAACCCATTCTTGATGTGTGCAAATGCAGCATGTTTGTCATGACAGTGATAAAATGTGGCATTTAGTAAATGGAGGAAATCTTGTCTCACTTAAAATAGGGTTGTTAGATAGCTGCTTAAAAGCTGTCTTCCCCCTCTTCCCCGCGCTTCTGGGAGGGGGGAGAGGGTAGTGCGTGTAGTGGTTTGGATTAACAGATAAACCTGGGCCTATTGGTAAATCATTTACATTACTATATGCTAATATCTCTACTTATAAGAGGTAATATAACAACACTTTTACAGTAATATAATAGGATAGTAAAATATAGGTGAGGCAAAAAAAGACACTGGGATTTGCATTATCCTGTATTATTTCTGGAAATATTTAAAATGACAGGGTGTGTATGTTCAAAGTTCAGTACTGTAGCCTCAACTGCTTTAATCCTTTAAATATGTAAGGATAGTTGCCCCCTAAACTGGCTTTTAACATTACTAGCTGGTGTATATAGTTGCCTTCTGAATATTTTTAAATTAGTTCACCTAGTATTGATCGTGGAATATATATAACATAGATACACATAATTACATTTATATCAGTGGAATGATCTCCCAGTGGAAATGGTAGCAGCAAGTTGCTTGGCATGTTGGAAGTTAACATTTTTAATGCGAGTGTTTACTCCTGTTTTGTTCATCTTTAATTTTTAAATATCTGAATATTTTTAGTAAAATCTTAAGTAGTGTTGAGATAAGGACAATGTCTACAAAGATATTCCAAGTCAGAGGTTTTAAATTACAAATGCAATTGAAATTACCTCTTTCATCTGTGAATTCCTAAAAAATTTGAATGGAGGTGTTGGTTTTTGGAAATCTTAGATGTTGTCTGTGGACCCCAGTAGTCTAAAACTACTTTTGTAATCTCTTGTCCTTCTTTCACTTTTGATAAATCTGGCAAATAATTTCATGCATGAAATTACAGTTAAAGAAACAGCTAGTGATCGCAATTAAAATAGTTCTGTATTTTTGCCAGTCCTCCTGTCTCATCTGGGAGTAGAAACTAGATCTTTGTGATTACTCATGTATTTATTTCTAATGAGTAGAGCTGCAAAGTTGTAAAACTTTGTTTTTTGTAGGTTGCAAGTGTAAATATTTTCATATGCCTTGTTTCACATATGGAGATCATTTCATGTGTAATCTGTGTAATATGTTAGACTCGATTTGTGTATTGGGGATATAGCCAGTAGCTATACCATATCAAGTTATCTATTTGCTTACTAGCAAAATAGAGACGGGTTTAGATAAACTTCTAAGGAACATGCAGACACTGTAGGAAGCAGTACTAGTGATTAGTAGATAGCACTCTTACCACTTCATCAGCACTGAGTCAGTAAACCAGCACACTATCTGAAGGTAGTTTGGAGGGCCTTTTTTTTGGTTTATATATAAAAACTAGGCCCTGATTTGCTGTTTTATTGTTAAAATATTGATAAACTCCTAATAGTAGGGGGCCTGCTGCAGACGGGGGCTGTTCGCATCCAGAGTATCCTCTGTCCATGGCAGGCCCAGGTGCCCTGCAACCAGGGGTTTCTTCGGCAGGGTCTGGGAGCCGGCAGCCAGTGGTGGCAGCGCTGGCAGCCAGTCCACCGCGCTTCTGGGGGCCGCAAAGGCTGGGGGCTGCCCTACCCAGTCTGGAGTGTTCCTTGGCCTGGATTCTGCTTAATTGGTTAGCTGGGATTTTATATCTCTCATTTGCATTTGTAATTAAAGTTGTGGAGTGATCTGTAGGAATGACCAGATGATTGATTCTGCGACTTGCCCCCCTCACCCTCCATACTGCTGCTGCTTTTCCCAAAGGCAGCAGGGTGGGGGGACAGATCTGGTACTCATGGGGAGCCTTGTTAAAGCTGGCTTCCCCCCCCCCCCCCCCCAGCCTCTGATACACTCCCCCACCTTTTGCTGCCTCTGTATGTAGTCAACAAGAGTAACTAACTGATAAGCCTAGGCTTTTCAGTTAATCATGTAGTTGACTATGCCTTGACATCCCTAGTCAGGACAAAAAAAGCCTTCACTGCCGCAAGTTTGCAAATACGACTTCCGCAAGTGCTGGAAAATGATGCCAGATGGCTACTGGAATTTTTCTGGCTCACCAAATGGAGAATTGTATTGCCATCTTTGGGAGATGCCGGTTAATGGAGTTTTCTGGATCTTCAAGTGCAGGATAGCAAGGCTTGTACTATATTTGGACTTCCAGAAAGTCTTTGACAAAGCCTAGCTGAAGATCCCATTCAGTAAACTAAATAGTCATAAAATGAGACGTAAATTATCGTTATGGACTATAAAAATGGCAAAGAAATAATCAATTTTAAGCCAGGAACTCATTAGACTTCCAAAAACCAACAGCATTTATACAGCTGATAAAATCTCCTAATTATATTAGTTATAACTAATAAGAGACGTATGACCTCATTCATACTTCAGAGCTGACTGCCTGGAGTTAGGAAGAAACTTCCCTATTAGTAGATTACTGTGGGGCAGTAGAGGAGCAGTAAATTACAGTATTGGATTCAGCAATGCTGTAGTATATACAGTAGTAAAAGCTGTAGTATAAAATATGATTATTTCATTCATTTTTGCATTGTTAAATCAGTATTGTTCACTATACAGTAATAGTGTTAATTGTGGTGTATAAAGTAATACAGTAGTGTTAAGTTATAGTGTTAGATATGGTTTTTATTTCTTCAGTGTTTTTTGCATTCAAAAAAGCTTGATTAATTGATACATTTACATAACTGGCAACCCCCATTCCGAATGCATGCTGGATAACAAAGCTTGTGCTGAACATTTTATCCATATATTCTCCTGTATCCATTACTTTGGTAAGATATTTAAATAATTTTCTGACCAGATGTCATGCTAATTCGTCCATTTTATATTCAGGCAGGTGTACTTATGGTGTTGTATAGCCTAAGAGCCCATCCTGGATAAACACCCTGTTGTGCTACGTGATGTACAAGCACATATTTATATCATTCTAACCAGTTCATCTGAAAATGAAATCTATGACTTTCAAATATTTTAGGATCAACCTTCGCACTTTCGTAAAATAAGAATAATAGATGCAAGACTTGCTATCTTCCAGCCCTTCCACATAGTAATTTTATTTTGTATACTTTTAAAAGCTTAAGTCTTTCATTTTTAAGTTTCTTCAAAGATCTTAAATGAGCACCTTCCATTCCTGGTGACTGGTTAGTTTAATTTATCAATGTGTCCCAGAACTTTCTCTTTGTTGTCTCAATTTTGACAAATTGTCATCTATCTGATAAGAATATCACTTGTTGCCAGATCCCCAAGATCCACTTGGTAAGAACTGATCCAAAGAAATAATGTAGCGTCTCTTCTGTGGCCTTATATTTGTTAATTATTCTCTCTTGTTCTCTTAGTCCAGTAGATCTACTAACTTTTTTACAAGCTTCCTGCTCAATTATTATTTGGGGGAGGAGGATGCTATCTGCTCTTTATATTCCCTTTTACATGCTGCAGGTTTCTTTCTTCTTGTTGATTTTCCATTGTTTAAAAGTATACCTGTTGGTTTCAAACTTTAGAATCCTGACATTTAACACTAGTGTATGTGTTTCTACTTCCTCTTTCATTTAGCCTCTGTAGCCATTACGGTTATGTTTACATATTTAGCTCCCATAATGAGTTTAATGATCATAATTTCCTCACAGTAAGGTCTCATCAACTAGCTTTTAAAATTTCTCAAGTTTTCAGTATCACAGTCCTTTTTCTGTGGGCAGTCTTTTCAGTCAGAGTTTCACTCATTTGAACTAAGGCTGGTTAAAATGTTAGATGTAATTTTCAGAAATAGCAACTCACGTTTTTTCTTCAAAATTAAAAAATTAATTGAAATTAAACATTTTGGGGAAAGGGAGGGAAATGGAACAGCTTTAGTTTAAACGGTGTGGTGGAAAAATTGAACATCCGAGAAATTTTGAGGGGTTATTCATTGTTGCTCGTTATTTACGTCCAAGTAGAAATCTATCAGAATATTCTGCTAGCACCAGGTCTTTAAACAAAGTCCTTTAGCTGTTTTGGCTTTTTCTGGCATCTTTGCTTGAATTACAATGAGGGAGACTTGCAGTTGAAATAGAAATATTGGAAACTAAGCTAAAAATATTCTGGAAAGTAGGTGAAGAGAACTGAAGTTAAGGAAAAGTGAATGGGAAGATACCTGAGTGAAGATTCTGGGAAGCAGTCTATACAGGTGAGCTAGTGCACAACACATGAGTGAGTTTTAGAAATTACGCCCTGGTTGTCTCAGTGTACACTAGAAGTGCTCTTAATCATTTTGTCACAGAAACTAACGTACATCAAATGTTCTTGAAAGACATCAGTTTCCATTTGGGGATGGTGATCAAGCAAACTAGCATACCTAGGTCTGAGTACTCTGCTTTTCCTGCCAAACGTAGGCTTTGAAATGTGTAAATTATTGATAAAGGTGAGTTGTTTTAGTGAAGCCAGGTAGGTATTAATTACACTTCAGAGAGAATTATTTTTTAATATTCTAAGCACATTTTAAAATGTTCTGTGATAAAGAGTCTTTGTTTTTGTTTCCCTATTTTTAGGGTCCTGGATGCTGCTCTGATCTGGCAATTTCATTCCACTATGTTGATTCCATAACTATGTATCAGTTGGAATACTTCATTTATCATCTTCGACCATATGGTTACCTATACAGGTACAACCCTGACTCACTTAATAATCCAGAAGAGCAAATCAAAAGCAAAGCAGTGAATAATGATGCAAAAGATAAAGCAGAAAGCTCCTAAAACTGAATCAGACTTCTACTCAAAAATAAGATGTGGAACAATGCACTGAAAGTATTGTGGAGTAATGGGCTGCTACATCTAGTTCAGACCAGACTTGGGAATTGCCAGTAGTTATTGTTTTGAATTTTAAAAGTTCTGTGTTGGGGGTCTTCCTCTGTGACTGCAAACTACAGGATTTCATTGTGCATTTTTTATTCATGAGGCTTGTGGGCCTTTTTCATATGAGTTGGGACTGCAGAATCAGGACCTAAAACTTTTATGTGATCTGTGATCTCCTTGAGGTGGCTTGGTTGCAGTAATATAAATATGAAGAATTTGTATTAAATCATATGGGTTGGTGATGCAGTTCAAGAATGATTATGTAGTGTTTTCTAGTCATCACTTTTCTTTTTGCCTCAGTTCCCATTTTCACCGTATTTGGTAGTGTTAGAAAGCTTGGGCTACATAAGGCTGTCACTTTGAGATGCTGACACTAGAGAAATTTGACATGAAGTAACTGGGCTGAAAAGAGAGAAATAAGTCTTTAAAATCACTCCTGCCTTAACGACAGACTTCAAAATATTTGGTATAATTACTAATACTGTGCCTATTTAGATGTCGAAATCTGAATTACTTCTCAGATGAAGTGAATTTGTTGTTCTTGATCTCATCATAAACTTCCCCCTAGATAGTATCTGTTCCACAAAGCCACCACCCAGCTGGCTTGCTCCAGTTGGCAAAAAGATCAGGAATAGCAAGTTTGGTTGTTGTGGAGTGTGTGGAAACTTGCATACCTGTCCACTCTATCCTCTTACCAGCTCATGATATGTACTCCTTCCTTGAATGAGCACAAAATTAATCCAAACGTTTTTTTAATGTACTTATGGTAGAAATAAACGCCTTAAAATGCTCTTTCCTCCCCTTGTGCTCATTTGTGTTTAAACCAAAAAAGTCTGTCTGATAAGTCATATGATAAATACTTGTTGTAAACAGCAAGGCATTTATACACTGGCATACAATAATTTCCAGAATCACCCAGTATTACTATTAGTTTATTTCTATTAAATGTACACATTGCTATACTGCAGGTTTTTGTTGGGAGGGGAGAGGGAAGTTTGTTTATGGGAATGATCTGGCACCCAAATAAATACTATTTTAAAGCAAACTATAAGTTTTCTTAATAGAATTTTGAATGTTCCCTAAAAATACCATTTATTTTGCAGTAATATATAGTTCCACTTCTCTCTGAGGGTTTTGTCTGGTTTAAAGTGTTTACCTTCATTTTAAATGCTCTTGATCAGTGTTTCTTAAACTGTGTTCTGAGAACAACAGGCAGGCAGCCTTCCCCTCCCCCCCCCCCCCCCCAAACAAAAATTCCTTTGTGTTCCTCATAAAAAAAAAATTGTTTGGTATTCCTGGGTCTTAAAAAGTTTAAGAAACACTACTCTTGATTGTCTGTCTTGCCAGTATGTTGTACAGTTTTTCAGATAAGCCAACCTGAATGCAAGGATCCTTTCAAAAAGGATTTATTTCATCCAGTCTGTGACATTACCAACATATTAAAATACAGTCAGTAGCTAGACCAACTAGATTTTTGCCTTTGTGATCAGTATGGTATATACATCATAAGACCAGTTTTATGTTCTGCCTATCTTTATTCATTGGCTGTCTTTGATCTTCAGTTTTGCAGAAGCCTTCTCATCTTTTTTTGTTCTGGTTTTCATCTTCATCATATTGGTGAATTTGGATCAAACCTGTCTCTCCTTAGCCAGTATATTGATGAGTTCATATTACTGGTTGTAAATGGCCTTACTAAAATAGTTACCACTGTTCTTGAGCACATTACTGGAAGATTTCAGGAAACTCTGGAGTAGTATGTCTGACAGGAGTTACTAAACATTATTTGCCAGCAGACATTACTTATGTATTTTTTGTTCTGCCTTGTGACATGATGCAGATAACCACAGTGTCTCATGAATATGAAGTAAATGTAGCCATCTTTGCTGCCCAATGTCTAAACATGGGATGTTTTTATATTCTCTAGTACCACTGATGTTACTGTATAGTGATCGCTTAGTTATTTTGTATTTATATCTAAATATCTCATTAGTGTTTTTCACTAGTAAAAATTAATGTGTTCTGTGAATTGTCTTATGGAACTCTTTAAAGTTAACTGCTGAAATGTTTTTAAATGGTTACACAGGTTGCCTAATTAACATTGTTATACATGAGATACAGCCAATAGGATTGCTAAATCAATATGCTAAAAGCACTTAACATCTATAGAGATTAATGTATTCACATATTTGGCTAAATCATTTTTCTTTAACAGTTGATGGTGTGTAATCTAAATTTAACAAGGTGAAGGTTTTGATTTAAATTCAAACTCAGACAGTGTAAAAGGTCTGTTGAATCAGAAATCTATAGTTCTTCACTACCATTTTCTTCCCTCATACTCCTTTAATGGCCTGCATGTCCCCCATTGACTTCTCAGCTTGTGGTGTAGGTAGCCCGTGTTGTAGTGAAATCATTGGGCTATGTGTGAGAAATGCAAATATAAATAAAGTCTAAGCAGGGATACTTCAAAAAGCATTTAGTACCTGGCTAAGAAAAGTTGCTGTCTCCAGATTCCATATGCCAACAGGAAAATGGAAGATATTTCCTTTCAGTATCAGACTGATTCTGTTGAAGTACTCACTTAATTTTGTTGCAGATTTTTCTAAAATTATGTTGTTGTTTTTCTGTTAGACTCTAGTATCATTATGTCAACAAAACTAATTATACTTAGGGATTTTTATTTAAAAAAATTGGTAGCCATTTTACCTGAAAGCTTTCCTAACTTGGCTACTTGATAGACTTTTATGATCATCTTTCTAAGAGGAACTTTCAACATTGCAGCCTCTGTCATGTTCTGCAGTTCAGAGCCATTGGTTTCAGTGTTGTGTCATCATTGGATTAAGAGCAAACACACAGTAAAATAATGATAGAAATGTAGCCGTGTTAGTCTGGTGTAGCTGAAACAAAATACAGGACTATGTAGCACTTTAAAGACTAACAAGATGGTTTACAAGTTAAACCATCTTGTTAGTCTTTAAAGTGCTACATAGTCCTGTATTTTGTTCCAGTACAATAAGTACTTCTGTAGCCCAGACAAGCTACTACAAAGAATCGTTCCTTGGCTGATTTGCTTTTCTTAGAACGTGCCTTTTGAAGTGCAGGGGTACAGGAGGATGCCTTATGCCACAGTGCTTGTTACTCTTGATTTGTAATGTTTAAAAAGTCTGACAGTATTCTGTAGTCACAGTGTAGTGACTGACACAACCCAGTTACCTAATTCTAATCAAATGTATGTCTTAAAGAAAATTACCTGAGAGGCAGATGTATGGGTTTTGTTCTTTTAATAGGATTCTTAATATTTGAGTAGCTTTGTTTTTCAGAACATGCCATTAGACATGCATTAATTTGCAGAGGCATGAGAATATTCTCAAATAATCCTATTCTCTGAAGCTGTTGTGAGCTGAATGTTACATATTCAGAGGAGTCACTCAACTGAAATTTAGTTAAACTTTTCACTTTGTTCCTAATTCAGTTTAGCAATGTGCACTGTATATATCTGCATGAATGGACACAATCCGCAGTGATACCTTGTCTGTTTTACTCAGCTGTTTCTTTTTTCCTTTTTTATTCTTTTTTTCTGATCTTTCCAGGAATGCTTCTACAGCTCCACCCTGTGAAGCAGTAATCAGATCTTTTCACGTGTTGCTACTAGCTTAGTTGCGAAAGGAAGTTTCAATTGTGCATTTTGACAGGCTACTCTCAACATAGCCAGCCGCCATTCATTTAGTTTACTCTGATAATCTGGGAGGAGATTTAGTGTCTTGATAACCTAACTAGCATTTGGGCACACGCCAAAATGAGAATAGGATTACGTAATTAATCTTTACTCTGGCAAGAAAAATTTGAGCGAACTGGCAGATCTTCATCTTACTGCATGTTGTGTTTAGAATACTCTGCTAAATGAATTGCAGATGTTTTATGAAAAATAGGTTAAAGGAGACGTGTTGCTTCTGAGCATTCTGTTCCATTAAAATAAGTGAATATTATGGTATTTAAGAGACTAGAAAATAGTTCTAGATGTCGTAGACGAAAGTTGATAACTTACGTGTTAAGTGATCACCACAAGCAAATTTATTATTCAGTAACTTCTTGGAAGTGCCTTTGACCATTTTTCTATAACGAATTTGAAGTGAGAACTGCACAAATAAAATGATCACACACAAACTTGTCTCTTGTATTCATTTGCTTATTCAGTACAAGTGAGCTTGATAGAGGCACAACTCTGCTTTTACCTAAGTATTTCCTTACATTTTTCAATTCAGTAGATAAGGAATAGTATATTTTGAAAACATGAAACCATCTCTTTTACACTTATTTTTTTTTTTTTGGTACTACATAAATCCATATGTGGGTATTTTCTTCATTTTTGCATGTTTCAGTGTAAAGTTAGGCCCTGCTATTATAAGTGGATCCACATAGGCAAGCCTTTGTTCCTGCAGAGTCCCATTGATTTCATTATGATTATGTGAGTGTAAGGGTATATCTTCCACAATTCAGGTTATAGGATCCAGATCCAATGTTGATGTATAAACTAGAAGATCTATCTGGCATGGCTTGGTTTCTTAACTCAAAAAAATGTTTATCTTCATTTAAATCACAGCTCTGGGGTAGGGCAAGGATGAGGGATTCAATATGCAGGCTGCCCTGGGGAGAGGACTGCCTCATCACGCTCTCTCTGCAGCAGCTTAGGGAAGGTAAGATGGCCCTTTCCATGGCTACTGCAGCTCCAGCGGGCATGGCTGGTTGTGGGGTCCATGTCCCCTGGCTGGGAAAGGTCCAGGTTCATCTGCCCTCAGCAATCCCCAGTCAGAATAAGGAATGCAGCAACCTGTGCACTTCTCCCTTGCTCCTTGATGAAGGGGAACAGTCAGGATTGTTCCCCTTCGAACTGGGGAAGGGCAGCTTCAGCTCCTCCCTCCCTCACTAAAGGGTGCCTGGGTGGATGGGAGGCTCGTGGCTAGGGTAGTCATGGGGGGAAGGCATGGCCCCAGCCAACCCCTTTTACCTGCCTAATGATTCTGTCTCTTCTCTCTTTATTTTCCGAGAAGCAATCCCATTTAAGGCACGCCCCAATTTCCTGCCACAACTAAACGTTTACCTTGTTTTAAGTTATGATAAGAGGAAGCTTTATGCTGAATTTGGTAGTCCTAGCTTTTACTGTTCAGGAGGTGGTGTTGAACAAACAGATGAATGGATAGACATAGAAACTTTCAATTAGCTTCAACAACACTGGTCCTACGATTGACAGTAACAGCTTTTGCTGTTTATATATACACTGGAGTTTATAATTTCCACTCAGACTTCTCTGATGAGGTAGGTTTTACACACAATAGTTGTTAGTTTCTAAGGTGCCACGGGACTACTTTGTTTTTAAAATTAGACCTTTTTCCCCTCAAACACATAGTAGATTACCTCAACCTTAGCCTAGGACTGTTCGAAAGTAACCTTTTTTTTGTGACACGTCACATATTTGTTTCTACGGTACATGCTTTTGAAATCTTTTATTCACTGTGTATTTTCACATAAAAATACCTAAAATTCATGCTTTCTGTTTCAAAAGCTTTACATTTTTCATCTGAGAGAATGATCAGTTTAAAGTCACCACTTCTCATTTAGAGCTTCCTAGACTCCGTAGAAAACCCATAGAACCTGAATATTATTGCTACAGAGTTAGGCAAGAACAGCCCTGGTCAGCAGTCCCAATCAGACAGTGCAGAATGGCGCTTGTTGAACGTTTGTACCAAAAGTGGGGATGGAGCAGAGCTTGAAGGCTAATTAAGCCATTAGGCAGAGGAAGAACACGAGGGAAAGCAAATAGCAAGGGGAGGAGAGAGATTGTTTTTCCTTGCTTGTTGCAGGAGCTGGGGCTCCCTAGAACTGTTAGAACAAAATTATATTTATAGGGCACTACCAAATTCATAGTCCATTTTGGTCAATTTCATGGTCATAGTGTTTTAAAAATAAATTTTCATTACTTCAGCTGTTGACTGTTAATATGCGTCTCAAATGGTGCAGTGTGTCCATTGCCTAGGAGAGAGAGACTTTGCACAGCCAATACTATAAAAAGCTAACAGAAGTAGAAAATCTAGGAATCGCCAGTTAAAACTCATGATGCTGGAGAAATCTCTTCATCCTGCCTTTGACCCTGACCACAGGACTCATCCTCACCAGCACTCGCCCATGTTGACATCAGACAAGGGATCCTCTTTAAATACAGCTGTAAAGAATCCAGTCCCACTGAAAGCTACAAAAAACTGACCTTGCTCCTTGCCTCAGCGTGTGTTGCCTCAGAGAAGGTACTCTCCGACCATCAAATCTGCCCCAGTACCATGGGGACAGTCAGCATCAGGACTGTTCTAGGAGCAGTAGGTTTCCTCATGATCTAGTTCTAAAGCAGGCACAGACAAAGCTAAACCTGGACACTGTGCAGTGTATTGGTCCACCTGCCGCACCAATATATTGCGGCAAATCTACAGCACTGGCAGCAATCACAATGGCTTCTAACCAGAGCCCGGCTCCTCTGCCGGCACCAAGCTTACTCATGCCGCAGCAGTTAGCTAGGCAGCCCTCTTCACAACATCTATTCTGGGTGCACTCTCCTGGGTATGGCTGGTACCTCAACCAGACCAAGAGCCACCAGAGTGTGACACCACCCCATTTACATCTCCTGTTCATTTTCTGACAGCCATAATAGCATCCTGGGGCACCCCTTCCCAGTGCCTCAGGTGCAAGGCTCAGGGTAACTCCCCCTCTGCTGCAGGACCCACCCTGTCCCACTGCTCCCTCAGGTACCCCCTCCCAGCAACACTGCCTGGGAGATATTGGGGGCTTGGTGCAGCGACAGCATGGTTGTCTCCTCCCCATTCCCATATTCACCGGCAGGAGCCAGAGCAGCTGAGAAGTCACGTGCAGTGGGCTGGGAAAGGGTGGCATGGGAGCAGGGTGCTGGGCTGCTCTGGCTCCTGCTGCCTGTGTGGGAGTGTGTGAGAGGTGAACCCTGCTGCCTCCATGCCAGGCCCACATGTCCCTCCCATCCATAGGACAGTTGGGGCAGCCACCATGGGGCCCCCAAAGATGAGGGGCCTAGAGTGGCCACCCCCATTCAGCCTATGCACAAGATGGGTCTGACCAGGGACTAGTTTTCAGTACTGGGTGAGCACCCTTCCTCTGAAAATCATGCCCTGTTTTACGTGTCTCAGGTTGGGCACACAAAATCACTAGTCCTCTGAAAAAATTTCATACTCCAGCAGGTCTTTGAGTGAAGTTTGCATAATATCTGTGGTAAATAGTAATATACCTTTTGATGTTCTTAAAGGTTAAGTAAGAGGAACTTAAAATTGTGGAAGCAGCCATTTTATCTTCCATTGAACCATAATGATGATCATGTCAAAGTTTGGCATGAATGCCTATGCAGGCATAAGTATTGTATTTCCAACCAAATAACAATGCAAGCCTTTTTTTATAGGTGGTGCTTTCTAGTTTAATCAGAAGCTCTTCAGTTTTAGCTTCTATAGTATCTTCAAGTAGTGTTTGCTCTGAAAGTAAAGAAGCAGTAAAATAGAAATAAAGATTTCTGTACAGCTTTCAGTGCTTTTCCCTTTTAATTACAACATCATTTATTTTATTTAAGCTATAGTATATACTTTTTCATTTCATTCTATTACAGAGGAGCCCTGAGAACTCAAAATATGTAGTATAGCTTATGAGTTGAAGACTCTCAGACTTTGACATAAGTATATATTAAAATTAATTGACAGCTTGCTTTTTTTACTGGCAAAATTATTTTAGTGTTAAATCCAAAGCTGCTTAATCAGAACCCCTACCTGCTCCCCCTCCACCCACACACAGTAATTCAGCTATACCTATGGTATTTAAATTCACAAGAGATACTCATGAATGACAATTTTTCATTTGCTGCTGTAAGAGCTGTAACGAGTAACAATTTCAGGCATCATTAATTTCTATTTAAAACTGCAGCACATTTTATTTTCCAAATAGATTGAGGCCTCTATTATTAGATGCTGAGTTTCATAACATTTACATATACAGTACAGTGCTATATTAAAACTATAAAGTTGGAGAGGAAAGTTGTATTCCTTTTTATGCATAACAAAGTTATTGCTGTGATGATCTAGATAAGATATGCTATATATGAATCATTCTACTCTCTAGTTAATATGAATGTCATATTGTGAAAAGCTCTAAAAGGTAAACAGGTGGTGTTCGTATTGGCACATCGTCCTGGAGTCAGAAACATTCAGCTTCACCAATCCAAAATGTAATTTCTAGAAAGAAATAAAAAATGAATTTGATTGTTATATAGCTTTGAGGAATGCAATTGTTGCAGTTTAGTCATCTCTTTACACAAAAGATTTTAATATATTTTCTGGAATTTGGACTAATAGAAACCGTCCTAGGGCACATCTATACTACAGAGAAGATCAACCATCCAGAGGTCAATCTTCTGACATTCGATTTAGCGAGTCTAATGTAGACCCGTAAGTCAAATGATGAGGGTAGCCCCACCAGCATTTGGTACTCCTTGTTCTGTGAAGAAGAAGTCGGTGGGATCTTGTGTTCCTGTCAGCCTTCTGCAGTGTAGACACTGTGGCGGTTTGGCTTAAGGTAAGACGAATCCAGATAAGCATTATGTGCAGCCAGATGGCGTACCTTAAACCAATCTTTGCCCTAGACTCACAAGCAAAAATAAGGAAGTTAATTTTGATACCAGAGACAATGGTTCAGATGTTGCTGTGTTGGATTATGTATCAGCTAATTAATGATGTAGCTACAGTTGTTTAACTATAAACACTTACGCCACTTACAGCAAAACCTTATTTTTTAATATCTGATACATCAATCTATACAGAGAGGTAGCTATTATAGAGAGGGGTTGGGGGACAGAATAGGCCCAGCTACTCTTCCTGCATGTCAGAAGAGGCAACTAAAAGCAGACTGCCTAGAGGCGGATGAGTCCTGTCAGGTTAGAAATTGGCCCAAGACACACCAGATGTTGAGCAAGTCAACCATGTCCATACCAGATTGGTCACACCCTGGGTTGCATCCCCATTCTTCTCCCACAAGAAGTATACTGGTGTGTGACAACTATATTACAAAGGGGATCCTGACAAAGAGAATCCGTGGAGGAGAAAACATCACCCTAGCCACATGGTATGTAAGGACACTGAGACAAATAGGGAAGCTAAAAGAACTAATATATGAAATGGAACAATACACCTGGCACCTCATCAGAATCTTTGAAGTCAGATGGATGAACTTTGTTGAGACACTAACAGAAGAAGGCCATGTACTCTATTACAGTGGAGAGGAAAAACATGTCAACGGAGTAGGATTTTGATATCAAGAGTTCAGTATTAGGATGCCACCCAATATCCAGCACTCTTATTTCCATCTATTTAAAGGCAGAACCAGACTGGTAGAAGTTTACACCCCTACAATAGACTATGGCGATGAGCAGCTTCCAAAATATCATTGATAAGGTACAAAAGAAAGATATCTCGATTGTACATGGAGACTGGAATGCTAAAGTGGACACTGACACCCAGGCAAATTGGTGAGATTATTATGCCCTTTTTGTCATACAATTACCAGTGGGAGAGGACTGAGACTGGAGTTTGCCAGCTGTAAAAATCTGATTCTTGCAAAGATATAAGAAGCACAAAAAGCATCCAATCAATGTGGCGTGCACCTGATGGTCTAACACCACAGCTACGTCAACTACATAATGGTGCAAAACTGATTTTGTTCTGGGATCACCAAAGCTAAAACAAGAAGCTTCTTTAGTGTTAATATTGGAAGTGATCATGAGCTTGTGATGCTAAACTTTTGGCTGCAGCTAAGACAAATCATCAGGATCAAAATTGATTTAGGAAGACTCAGAGATCAAAGCACTGCAGAGTCATGCCAAGCAAAGATCAGTGGAGAATTTGCCCCACGGCTTGCTCTAGAGGAAGACACAGAAATAATGACCAGCAATTTTAATGCTGTGCCCCAGCAACCAATGCAGTTATGGGAGTGATTGTAGTGCTTATAGAGAGAGCTAGAGCTATGACACAAAGCAATATTTTTTCCTTTGGAGGTTTCAGACTAGGGTTCCATATTGTCACATGTACTCCCAAGTAAATTATGTAACATCACCGAGCTTCCATTTCCCATCAGTTCAAATGGTGATAATAATGTTTCCCACTCTGTTGTAAAGCGCTTTAAGATTTATGGATGAAAAATGCTACCAAAAGATTAGAAATTATCTCTCTGTCTGTGGAGACACATGGTAAATAGTATCTAGGAAATGTTTCACATGGCAGCAAGACAACTTAATTACTGTAGTACTCCTATAAATCAAGTTTTGCATCTCTTTACATGGTTGTATTTGGGAGACCACTTGAAGGGTTCAATACCTCTGGTCTCTGAGTTCAATATGCAGCATAATTAATTTTTTTTATTTTTTCAACTTAAAAGATGAATATGGATTTGTGAGTACAGCTTCCAGCATAAATAAATGTGACTTACTTGTTCATCCATAAATACAGGTTTCCTGACATTCTCTTTCTTCCTCGAACCTATTTCTGGTGCCATTACAACCACCATACCAGAATCGGGCACAAGAATTGGCATCCTTATCATAATACCACTTCATCTGATAATCTCGACAGTCTCCTGAGTTCATAGGCTCCAAGCATCTAGGATCTGAACACACATCAAGTTAAGTTAGCTGGGAGTTTTCTTCCTTATCGTGACATATTGACCGTTTTAAAAGGACATTCTTCAGAAAATAGAAACACCTCCCGCTCTACAAACTTTGGGGTCTCATACAGTCCTCAGTCAAACTGCATTGATGTCAATGGGCAGTATGTGATTGGATTGAAAGGTTCCAATTTTCAAATTTGGGTGCTTAAATCTCTATTTTGGAACCTAAATCAGTGTTGATGTGTTAGAATTATTTGGCTCTTCTTCTAGAGCCAAAATTCTCACCTTTTTCTTTGAGTACCCACTCCCCTTCACCCCCGCAACATGCTATAAAAATTCCATGGCCTTCTAGTGCCACAACAACTGTTTTTTTTGCATATAGAACCCAGGGTCAGTGTTGGGGTAGCTAGCAGGGCAGTAGCCTGAGGCTCCATGCCACAGGGGGCCCTGTGAAGCCAAGTTGATCAAGCTTCAGATCAAGGTTGCAAGCCTCGGGGTCCAGGCTTCAACCCCATGCTGTGGTGCTTTGGCTTTCTGCCTTGGGTCTCACCGATTCAATGCTGGCCCTGTGTGGTGTCCCTCCACCTCGATACCTCCCATGCCTGTCTTCCCCCGCCTCCCTGGGCCTCAGACTTCAGGATTAGAATCTTTGTTCTAGACAACATCATTGCTAAGCAACGGTAACCAATACCATAGAAATATTTAGTTGTTTGTGGATATTTAACTTCCAGTTTATACATGCTTTTCTGTTGTTGTTCCAGGACATAATTTAGTGAATTTAGGGTCTAGCAAATAATAAGTGTTGTTTACACTGCTTAGACTAAAATATAGTGGAGGTAAGTCTAGTGAGCAGGGTACCTCCTGTAACATTGTGAATGCCAGTCATCCTTGACATCTGCTATATCTCCAGGACCTAAGTTTGCCTGAGCAGACCTTGCCAATTGTTTGCAGTTGTGTAATGAGCTACTAATTTTTTTTCTCTGTCTAGCTAAATGATTTGAACTTGAGCCTCCAAGCATGAGCATAATCCACTGCACCTCCTTATATTCTCTGCATTTTGGTACAATAAAAAATTAAGATAGCTTGCATTCAAAGTATTGTGAAAAGTAGTGAGCATTTAGGAGGAAAAATGAAGTCCTCAAAACCCTAACAAACACCCACCGTAAAACAAAAACCAACTGTCACAAGACAAGAACAAAGTCTTTGGTCTTTCCAAATTCTAGTGGCAGCATTTGCTTCTTACCTTTTTTAGTTGCTATTACATGAGGCTGCAGAACTGGTACTGGCCATTCTATAGGTGTGATTTTTTTGAATGGCCGAGGTTCATCTGGACTAGCTCTAGTTTCTACATCCTCAGGTCTGCCATAAAGAGAAGAAGTCCCTGATTGTCTGTGAATACCAGGAATGCTCCCTTGAATAGGAGTGGTGGCAATATAATCTGGTGTGGAAGTCAACAGCACTGTGTCTCTATCAATCCCTTGAGGGCTCAGCTGCAAAAGAATTCAAAGTTTTACATTAATGGTAAAATTCTACTTAGCTCACAAACCAAAAGAAAAATTGAAATGATATAGGGGGATGGCAGCTAATTCCTGGAATCTGTTCTTGTCTCTGACATTGACGCAATAGGCAATGATGATTTTTACTAAATATATTTTAGAACTTCTCTGGTACTGATTGACCGAGAAGGCAGTATAGTCCTTTCTACTTAATTCAGTCACTGGCTATGTTAAACTTAATTCCTGTTAAGCTGCAGGAACCATTTTGTTGGCAATGCAAATAAAACCAAGAGAATGAGGGGCCAAAGGGTAAAATGAATTTGTGAAATGCTTAATAATTTCTAGTACATAGTTCCAAGAGATTATGTGATGTATTAGATCAGTATTTCTTAAACTGTGCGCCACGGCAACAGAGTTCAAAATGGCCACCCTTAAAGGGACAAGTGACTTTTTTTTTTTTTTTTGCTCAATAACTCTCCCCCCCCCTTTTTTGGGGGGGGGGGGGGGGTTGTACAAAAAATCCTTGATGTTTCCCATTAAAAAATGTATTGTTTGGTGTTTCTTGGTCTTAAGAAGTTTAAGAAACACTGCATTAGATCCTGCATCTAGGCATTCAGATAAATGGCACCCTATTTGCTGCATTATTGGCATGGTCTATGTATGCCTTCTACCTCTTCATAGACCCTTTTAGGAACTAGGAAAGTAGTCCATAAGAGCCTGCTACAGCAGAAGGCCATAAACATTTAAATTGAGCAGACCATCTCTTGTGGACTCTTCTCCCATTCAGAGATGCATGAGAGCATGTCATTTTCCTGCTGCTGAGAGTCAGGATTTTGAATGTTTAACTGGAACATATTAAGAAGTAAACACAGTTACTCAAATATCAGAATTATATATCTACAAATGATAGTGATTTACTATTTACACTATGTAGCAGTAGAAATATGGACAATTTTGTGGGCAAAATAACCCTGCTTCCTAAAATTTATGAAGCTCAGCTGATCACTAACCTATCCCCAACTTTTAAAAATGACTCCAAGGTTTGTAAACAATGGAATTATCGATCACAGAAAGGAGAGCTTTCCCTGAATTATCTGAATTCCAAATCTATAAATAGACCATCACTTCTGATTTTTGAAACTATTTTTGCACACACTCAGTGAAAAATAAATATTACAGACATCAGCATTTCAAACAGTCATTTAAAGCATGTAATGTGATAGATTAACAGGAACAAATATTGCATATGGCAAACTGATGTGTAACTTATAACTGAACATTATGTTCTGCGTCATCTTGTTTACAAGCAACTAGAATCCAGGGACAGTCCAGGAAAAATCCCCCACTATAACTCAGGAACTGTGGGTGATGTTTTAGCATTCATAGCCCAAAGAAACTACTTCAGGCTGCAAATTTACATATGTTTCAGCTCAAACCCTCTAAATGGCCATAGTTATTTTGATGGGAGTTATGAGCTTTAATGGTTTAGCTACTGCTATGATCCTTCAAATTCATAGTGAGGAGCACATGGTCATTGGCAGGTCAAAATAATTAATAATAAATTACATGTAGTACATGATCTCATATAGATTCAATTTACTAATGAGCTCAATACACTGCTTCCAACTATTTTGCCTACAGATACATAAGGCCAAATTCTGACTTAAGTATCACCCAAGCAACACTAGGTATAACTAAGGACATCATTTGCTCAAGGATAAAGTAAAAACAGCATATACATGTTGTTCTGTTATTCACCTAATTTAGGGCTGTCAAGTGACTTAAAAAATAATTTAATTTCATGATTAAAAAATTTAATCACGATTAATCATGCAATTAATCGCACGCACTGCCCCTTTGAAATGCTGCAGTGGTGTTTTAAAGGGGCAGCATTGCAGGAACCCAGGATCAGCTGGAGTCCCCAGCTGACCCCGGGCTCCATGCAGTGCTGCTCCATTGAAGCACCACCCTGCACCTCAAAGTGGCAGTGCATTAGGAGCCAGGGATCGGCCGCGGATCAGCCAGAGCAGCACTTCAAAGGGGCAGTGCTGCATTAACACCTGCGATTAAGGCATTAAAATTAACATGTTAATCCTTCCCTGCGATAATCGCGGGTGTTAACGCATGTGAATTGACAGCCCTAATCTAAATAAAGCAAAACAAAAAAGTAGTCATGTGTAATACTTTAAAGACTAACAAAATAGTTTATTAGGTGATGAGTTTTCGTGGGGCAGACCCATTGAAAGCTCATAACCTAATAAACTATTTTGTTAGTCTTTAAAGTGCTACATGACGGCTTTTTTGTTTTACCAAGATCAGACTAACAAGGCTACCTCTCTGACTAAATAAAGCAGTCAATTTTGAAATCTGGGTGGAACCATTTAATTGCTAATGCTAAAAATCTATCAGCAATTGAAAGAATTTCTATTAGCTAATCCATTCACTCCTACAGTTTGAGTCAGTGATATTTAATTAGACTTATTACATGTCACAAGTTCAACCCAGTTTTGGTTTTAATGCTGGCTTTGCTCATATCCACCCAGTTTTACTACAGAGAATCTCATATTAAATATCTTCCATAATTTGTTTCTATCAGACTTTCTGGACAAGGCAATCTTTTTGGGTTTTCGAGTTTGGCTATTTGCATGCAGGGAACAGAATGGACCATTAGCTCTGATATACTGCAAAGGTGTTGCTGCATTTTAATAACCAACACCATACATAAGACCTGAGAGGTAAAAACTTTCTTGTTGGACAGGAGCAATCTTAAAACTTGAGAACAAAGCTACAAAGAAAGGAATATGAACAAGAAGTGTATAATTAGCATGGCAGACAGATCAGACTTTTCCAGGGCTTAATGAGGGGTTGCTACATGTGATGAGAAAATTCCATGTACAAATGGCCCGGGCCGAGGCAGAAGGACAAGTGAGGCATTATAGGATATATTTAGTTTTCCCATTTCAACATCACACTGAGCCAAATTCATCCCTCTGTCTTCTTGGCCCATTGGCCAGCCCCAGCCAAAACAATTGCACAACCCGGACCAGGACTTCCCGTGGACTGGAAGGGAGCCCCTGTTCATTACCAGCCCTCAAACTCCACCCCTTCCCACCATCACCCTATCCTTCCTCCCCCCCCACCCCCCCATGGCACCATGTCCCTTAAGCAAACAGCTTTGGGTATCACCAAGAGGGCGGGCCTGATGCCACATGGCAGCAGTAGTTGTGTTCCCCATGGCTCCTGCTGCCCCCTCTCCATGGCAGCAGGAGCCATGGGGAAGTGGAGCATAGCAGAGTGAGTGCATTCACTGAGTGTGCTCTGCTTCCCACACAGCTCGTGCCACTGCAGGGAGTGCAGGGGAAGTGACCGCTGTATGGTACCAGTCCCCTCTCCCCAATAATCCTTGATATTGCATCCTCTGGGTCTGAGGTACCATGGGGTCAGAAGGTGGGGCAATGGCAGGAAAGAACAGGGCTTGGGGACTGGTAACAGACAGAGCCCTCTTAACCCTCCAGGAGTCCCGTGATGGATTGCGCAATCACTGAGGCAAGGCTGGCCTGTGGGCTGAGAGTTTGACACCTCTGAAGTAAACTGAAAAACGACAACTCAAGTCGGGAAGGTGTGCAGCTGTGCTCCTTTGCCTGCTTTTGATATGATATGTGATGCAAACTGGTATTGTCCTTGGACAAAAACATTGGGAACTTCAGGAATTTTGGATTGAGTCAGGAATTGATGGCTTAGCAACACCCAGAGAGTATAATGGAATTCACACACAGATGCAGTGACATAGCACTAAACAAATTAATCCCATCACATATATACTGACACGACAGTACAATTAAATGACATTTCCACCACCTATACTGGAAACCTACCGACCATTACACTTACCAACATGCTTCTAGCTTCCACCCAAGACACATTTCCCAATCAATTGTTTAAAGCCAGGCCCTAAGATACAACCGTATTTGTTTCAGTCCTACAGAAAGAGACAAACACCTACAGGATCCTACCTGGGGAAGTGAAAAAACAGATTGACAGAGCCAGACGAGTCCCCAGACATCAGCTTCTTCACAATAGGCCCAACAAACAAAAAAACAGAACAACACCAGTCATCACCTACATTCCCCAACTTAAACCCCACCAGCACATCTTTAACAATCTACAACTTATCCTGGTAAACGACCCCTCACTCTCAGAGGCCTTGGGGGACAGGCCAGTCCTTGCCTACAGACAGGCCCCTAACCTTTAACTCTTTACAGCACCACGCAGCACACCTGTCATACTCACCCATGAACCCACCCCTGCAATAAACAACATTGTGAACTCTGTCCACACATCTACACAAGCAACATCAGCACAGGACCTAATCACTTAAGCCACCACATCAGAGGCTCATACAACTGCCCATCCACTAATGTGGTTTATGCCATTAAGTGCCAGCAATGCCCCTCTGCCATGTATATTGGTCAAACTGGACAGTCTTTATGACAAAGGATTAATAGGCACAAATCAAATATTCAAAATGGTAACACATAGAAACCTATCAGGGAACACTTTAATTTGCCCAGATACTCATTAATGGAGCTAAAACTGACTATACTCTTACAAAGAATTTCTGAAACCATCTGGAGACAGAAACTGCGGAACTTGCTTTCATATGCAAATTTGACACATTTAACCAAGGTTTGAACATAAGAATGGCTGTACTGGGGCGGACCAAAGGTCCATCTAGCCCAGTAGCCTGTCTGCCGATAGTGGCCAGCGCCAGGCGCCCCGGAGGGGGTGGACCGAAGACAGTGATCAAGCGATTTGTCTCCTGCCATCCTTCTCCAGCCTCTGACAAACAGAGTCCAAGGACACCATTTCTATCCCCTGGCTAATAGCATTTTATGGACCTAACTTCCATGAAATTATCTAACTTCTCTTTAAACTCTGTTATAGTCCTAGCCTTCACAGCCTCCTCTGGCAAGGAGTTCTACAGGTTGACTACC